GGGGCAAAACAAGACTTCGCAATGAGTGAGCGAGAGGCGGAGGCTTAAGTAGTCCCGGTAATAGGCTGCAGGTGAGCTCGTAATCAGTGCTGGGTGCGGGGTGATGGGAAATGTAGTTTCAAGGGGAAAGTCAATACTCGGGTGATGGTGACCTCTGGTGACGATCAGGGGGAACCACAGAGGCCGGATTCGTTACAATAGCACTGTTAGTGCAGTTTGGTTGGAAATCTTCTCCTGACTTTCTTCACACAAACACTCGATCATCAAATCCATCCAAGTTAAATTTGGATTCATCTGAAAATAAGACACTTCTCCAGAAACTGTTGTTTTTCTGTACGTGTTCTTTTGCTAATTTCACCCTTGCTTTCTTATTCTTGAGCCTGATGAATGATTCCCACTGCATTAGCGTTTTCTAATGCAGTGGAATTAATATATTTGTAAGTGTGTCTTATCTGTCCAAAAAGTTTTGGGGCCACTGTATATCATCATAGAAACCTGTTCATCAATCTGACCATTTAACTTTAACACTAAAAAACATGTCCTATACCCCAAAACATTATTAGTAGGCCGATGCAGAGGGCTCCCGGTTTTTTTGTTTGAGTTTTGATTGCATGGTCATCGATTGTGTGGGTTTGATTGTGATGTGATTAAGGCTGCAATCACTGCCTTGTTCATGGAAGAGATGATTTCCACATTTGTGGAATTGAACTTTGATTCCATATGTTTCAGGGTTGATAAAACTGATTCACAAATATAGGTTGACCCAAACATTGATAGTAGCCTCAGTGCAGCTTGTTTTACATTGGCATACTTCTCCATTGAGGTTCTCTCCCTCTGAACAGACTTGAGTCTCTCATCTTCAGAAAATTCAATCATCTCTATTTCACACGTTCAAACAGTCAAACAGTCTGATTCAGCAGCAAAGGGTTTAACAAGCATCATAATTTGTGATCTTTTCAATTGTAGAATCTGTCCTTGAAGCTCTGTTGTAGATTTGCAATAAGAATTGTATAGTGTGCAATACTCAGTTTCAGGAGCTTGGGTCCTGGTGCGCTTGTGTTTAACACAGAAGGAAAATGTGTTAGTTCTTCCTTTTTAAGATGAGTCTTGAATAGCTTGAGTTTGTTGACAGATGCAAATATTATTTGCAT